GTGGATAAAAATGCCAAATCCAGTCTAAACATCTGGCTGACTGCGTGACCAACCATAATAACAGAACACTTAGTTTCTCATGGTCCTCAAAGAGGCTCAGCAATACAAGAATAAACATGATAGTTACATCTTAAAAAATCTGTTGTCTTTGAGTTAAGCTTCACCTCTAGCAACCGCATTCAGTTTTCTTGGAAGAATTGTGTAAGACAGCTAACAAAATAATAGTAAGAGTTGTGGTTAAGCAGAGAGGCAAATTAATGAAATACACCAAGAAAAGCATAACTGCTCACCAACAAAGTAAACAGTCTTGGTCCAGTTAAATTATACTTCAGTAATCCAAACCCTTCCTGATTTTTTAAAAAAAGGATAACCGAGAAGGAGCTCGCCTGATGCTTGGTGATAGGGAATTTTAAATCTGTGAATAGTCACCAGCAAGACCTTCTCATAAGTTCCCACTGAAAGTACTTCCAGGGATGATATGTCAGAGAGATAAAGCTGACTTAGAGACACAGGACAGAGACCACATGGACTTCAGGAAGTGAGGTCTGCAGATGTGACCCCACCACTGAAAATGCCCTGGAAATCTAAGTAGCTTTGGTACCAAATCAGAGGGTGAGGTCCCTTAGACCAGTATCAGGCCTTAATACAACCCCCCCCCGCCCATTTTCTGATTCTACTGACCCACGTTTTCCCTCTGATTCTCTGTCCAGATGTTACTCAGATTAGTCCTGGATGTCAGACTGCATCATGAACTGAACTGTTCAACAGTTGTGACGCTGAATCGTTACAAAAATGTACATTCAGCCCTTCCTATCTTGACAATACCACAATACAGTAAATGTGTGTGTTGACTCAGAAGAGTCCCACTAAGCTGTCAGAACCAAGTAAGGGCATAGATTCACAGCCTTAATGACAAAAGCCACATACTATCATGGGTTGGGATGGAGTCAAAACTATCTACGTGCGTGGTGATCAAAGCTTGAAAGATAGTCTGGAGGACTTCCTGGTGCCAGAAATGGGTACAACTGAATCTGTGCAAAGGGCTTCGAGGCCACAACTGCCCCTTGCTCTTCAAGCAGGAGTTGCAAGTCCAGGAAGGCTCCTCAAATTGTGCACTAATCCCAGAATCAGGACTAAAGATGGAAGTTCTCTAGTTCCAGGTGGACCAAACATCCACAGCTACTTGATCTTATTAGGGTTGAGTTTGAGCCTGTTCCTCCTCCTCCAGACCCCCACAGCCTCCAGTCCCTGGGGCAAGTTATTTATTTTTTATTTATTGGATTTCTCCCCCACCCATCTCCCCCACAATAGGGGACTCTGGGTGACTTACAAAAGACATTAAAACTATAAATATATGTAAAACACATAAAACATCCAAAATTTAAAATTATTCAATTTCTATGGCCACCCATTCCCCAGGTGACTCTGGGTGGCTAATAAGGATTATAAACAAAGGCATAATGGTAACAATAATAAAATATAATAAAGGGAGAAGGACCAGGTCTTCAGAGCCTTCTTAAAGCAAGGTTGGGGCCAACTAAATATGGGGGAAGAGAGAGACTGTTTTATAGGCAGGTGCTATGACAGACCCCTTCATGGATCACTGCCTTGTCGTGGCGAAGGGGCTTGCGTAACTCAGTGAAGCCATGAGCTATACCGTGCAGGGCCTCC